ATTTTATGTTTTGTTTCCCCACAACTCTGAGAACTAAAAAACCTCTTATTTATCTGAACACACTCTTTACAGGAGTGGAGACAATACAAGAAGTAGTTGGCCATTTTTTCATTCAGAGAACTCAAAAACACTACAGTCAGCAATAGATACAGTTTTATTTCCAGTTCTTCACCACAAGCTCTCCCTACAAAAATATATCCATACAAAGACTTTTCTGTAAACATGATTCAATCTCATTTTTTAAATACTTGCTTTTTTCATGCTGTGAGTTACTGTATTTGTGCATCCCCCTGGCACAAACCCAAAGGTCAAGGTACACAGATACATAGTGGCTGATATGCCTCAATGATTATGTCACATGAAACCAGGTTCTATCGAAACTCCACAAATAGATATTTCTGAAATAACAGGGGAATTCCAGCAGAGGCAAAGCTCAAGGGTAACAATACTGCACTTAAGTATATATTGCTTTGCTTCTGTTTCTATGGTAATACAACATACCATGGTGGGGGGGGGAGCGGAGGGGACCAAAAAGGTTACTTATACTTAAGGCTACAATTTAATCATGAGTATTTTTAGTAAAAAGTCATGGCTAGGTCACAGGCAAAAACCAAAAAAAATCCAGGGCCCCATGACCTGTCCATGGACTTTTACGCCGTTGAGGCATGCTGCAGGGGGAAAGCCGGGGCCCCGCTGCGGGGAAGGGACCCCATGGGGGCTCATTGCTGCTCCGGCCCTGCCAAAGGGGGAGCCCCATGGTGGGCTGCCAGTGCTCCAACCACCACCGCGTGGAGGAGAGTGCCCCGGGGGTGGGAGCCACCTCCATGCGGGAAGGGGGGTTGTCCTGGGGCCAACCCCATTGGCAGCTGCTTGGGTGGTCCCTGTGGCCAGCTGCCCGGGGCCACCAGAGCAGCAGCCTGTGTGGCTGGCTGCAGAGCCGCTTGGGCAGCCTTGGGTTCAGCCACACTGGCCGCTGCAGAAGTCACGGAATACATGACCTCCATGACAGACACAGAGCCCTACTTATACTACAGTAAAACTGTGCTTCTTTGAGATGCTGTCATCAGTGTGGTTCCCACTACAGGTGCATGTAACGGCAGGGCACCTGTGACCCTCCCTCACTTCCCTCGCAATTTAAAGCCCATGGTAGCTGAGGACTCAATAGGGATTGAGCTGGGTCATGGGATCTACACTGACTACAATATCTCTAAGAACCACAGTTATTGCAGAGGGTAAGTCAACATTTTTTTCCTCTTTCAGCATGAGTCACTGAATCCCACTGTAAGTGACTGGCAGGCAGCATCCTCTCAGGATGGCAGGAAACGAAGAGTTCCAGCTACATCAAACAGTAACCGAAGTACGGCTCTCATGAACGTGGCATCTGAGCTAGTAGCCAAGTCTAAGGCATGGTGTTTGACAAAGGTCAGTGGGTTTCTCCACATTACAGATTTCTGATATTGGCACATTCCTGAAGCAGGAAGAGGATGTTGCTTGAGCTCTGGTGGAGTGATGTTCAGTGGAAGCAGCATGCCAGGCACATAGCGAGATATGCTGCGTTACCCATTTCCACGTTCTCTATGGAGAGATGGATGGACCTTTAGAACATCTAGCTGTGGCAATAAACAGAAGGGACAACGTTCTAACCGGTTTGGTCCTGTCAATATAATAAAGCAAAGTCCTGGTAACACCAAGAGCTATAGCTTCTCTTCCCCCCAGCATCTAGTGTGGTTTCAGTAACAAGACAGGTGGACTGACTGGCTCAAATGAAATTCCAAGACCACCTTAGTAGTGACCTTGTCCTGTCATATGGAGGATTGGGCCATAAGCACCAGAAGTTCACTCACTCTTGTGGCTGAAGTGTCAGCCACCAGGAAGACCAACTTCAGAGTGAGATGGGGAAAGGAACATCTGAAAGAGCCTCAAACAGAGGCTCCAAGAGCTTCAGGAGGACCAAGTCCCCAGCAGGAGCAGGTTCTCTGACTGGTGGGCAAGTGTGTAAAACCCCTTGAGGAACTTCAATACCATGAGGTGAAAAAAAGATCAGGAATTCCAGGCTGGGCAATGGAATGGAGCACTGGCACTCAGCTCGCTCTATCGGGCCAGGAAATGCTGAGCTGTGAACTTAGCATTGGGTCTAAATACATCCAAAGGCCTCTCAGACCAGACAGAGCTACAGGGCACTAGTGAGATGGCTCCCTCCCCCCTCAACTGAGACCCAGTGACATTTGAAACATCCATCACTCACAAGGACTCTGCGGGGAAAAACACCACCACCCCGGCCTCTGCAGAAGGTAGGGCAGAGAGAGAAGCAGCAAGCCCCAATCAACTCCCTCTGATTTATGTGGCAATGAAGGTCCAACTCCTATGACTCCCAGAATTTGTTCCTAGCCTTGCTTTCCCTAACACTACACGGGGGAGAATGAGGATGTGGCCATGGCTCAATGTGACCTGAAAGGACAAGTACATCAGGGGCAAGGAAGCAAAGAAGCTAGCACTGTTCCTGGTCCCATCCTCAGACAATGAAAATAGCCTCAACAGAGACAAGAATTAAATAATATATGGACATGCTTAGCACTTATATAGTATTTTTCATCAGCAGAGCTTAAAGCCCTTCATAATACTACACGACTACAGGATGGGGGACTGAAGCCCTGCTGTCCCGGGGCCAAAGCCCAAGGGCTTCAGCCCTGGACAGGGAGTGTGTAGCCTGAGCCCACCACCTAGGGCTGAAGCCGAAGCCTGAGCCTCGCTGACCAGTTTGAGAACCCTTGTACTATTTCCTTCTCTTTTGTTTACACCTTTCAAACATATATGTACTCTTCAACCCACCTGTAATCATCTTTTAACCTCTCCTCATAAATCAATCTCTTCAGCCCCCTGATCACTTCTGTTGCTGTTTGAAAACTCTCTCTAGTTTATAAGTCTATTTCTTGCAGTGTACAAAGCAGTATTACCAATGTGTTCACACTGGAGCCAGGAAGGACTAATTTGTCTTGCTCTGTGATGTGATGCCCTCATGCATGGCAGCCCAAAAATTGAATCTGCCTTTTGACTACCATAGATTGCCACAAACTCATATATAATTTGCTCTCCATTAGCCCCCCTACATCTCTTTCAACATTACCATTTTAAAGATTTTTCCTTCTCATTTAACTTCAGTATTTATCATTATTTACTGTTTCCCCAGAAGGATTTTTCCAAGTTGAATCTCATTTTTGGGGGGGTGGGAGAATTATGCTGCTCACATTTCTGATCTCTCGAGATGCTTTTATAGTATTTCTGTATCCCCACTGGTATTTGAAGCCTCTCACAATTTACTTCTCCAATGCCAAACTCTGCCTTACTGGTGCACTTATGCAGACTGCCCCTCCTTTCCCTCTCATCAGACTGACACTTCCCTTACCCTTTTGTCTATCTTCTTGTGATCTTATTACTACTGTTATAATAGTTCTTGACTTAACTGGGACAAAGAAAATTATTCTGAAATCTTTCTGTCCTAGCTGCTAACCTGCTCTGTATTAACTATCCAGGGTGCTGAGAGATCATACTGAATCCCCAGACAAACATTTAACAACGCTTTCAAATCTATGTTTTACCAATCATCCACATTTACTTCAGAAGTCCATGAATTACTAGTTTTGCTGCTACAATTGCCTAATTTCCTTTTGGGTGAAAACTACTTAAAAAAACCCTAATATTAGAAAATTGTTCTATGCCATGTCTATAACAATATAATAGCAATATATAATAATAATACTACATTTATTACAGCATTCAGTCTGAAAGATCCTGTAATGGGGAGCCCGTTGCACCCCTGAGTATTCAGACCCTTGACCCTGCTCCTCCCAAACTCAGGGAGGCTCCAAGCTGCTGCAACATCCATGCTCTTTATTTGTGTCCATTTCCCACCACCAGTTTCCTACTATATACAGACTATTTACAATGGCTTGGCCTAACCCAGGCCTGGTCAGCAACAGAGTAGCAGGCTCCTACCTCTCCGTGAGCCTCACTTCCTCCCAGCCTTATAGCTTCTGCTTTAAGAGGCTGGCAGGTACAGTCAGTGATTATCCAAACCTAGCAATCCATTTCCCCTGATTGGGGCTGGAGTGGTGGGAGCTGATTGAGGCTCCCCCAGCAGCGACCTGCCACAGATCCCAGTGAGCTGTAAGTCTTTATCATAGAATCATAAAATATCAGGGTTGGAAGGGACCTCAGGAGGTCATCTAGTCCAACCCCCTGCTCAAAGCAGGACCAATCCCCAACTAAATCATCCCAGCCAGGGCTTTGTCAAGCCTGACCTTAAAAACCTCTAAGGAAGGAGATTCCACCACATCCCTAGGTAACCCATTCCAGTGCTTTACCACCCTCCTAGTGAAAAAGTTTTTCCTAATATCCAACCTAAACCTCCCTCACTGCAACTTGAGACCACTACTCCTTGTTCTGTCATCTGGTACCACTGAGAACAGTCTAGATCCATCCCCTTTGAAAGCCCCTTTCAGGTAGTTGAAAGCAGCGCTCAAATCACACCTCATTCTTCTCTTCTGCAGACTAAATAATCCCAGTTCCCTCAGCCTCTCCTCATAAATCATGTGCTCCAGCCCCCTAATAATTTTTGTTGCCCTCCGCTGAACTCTCTCCAATTTTTCCACATCCTTCTTGTAGTGTGGGGCCCAAAACTGGACACAGTACTTCAGATGGGGCCTCTCCAATGCCGAATCATCACCAACACACAGCTATTTGTTAGGCAAGATGTTGCCACTGTTTAAATAGCATGCAAACATTTAGAAGAGTTTAGGACAGGAAGTGAAGAATTCTGGCTAAGATTTTCAAAATATGGGATCCTAAATCCATATTTGTCTTCAGCCTGCACTTCTTCAGAAAGCCAAAGGCATTCTGAACTGATGTAAAGGTCTACCTACCCTAATCACTCTGCATAATCAGGACCCTAAGATGTTGAAGAGCTCACCTGCCATAGAGAGCAACCAAAAATAACCCCTTACCTTTTTCAAGACACTGTGGGTTCCAGTAGAAAAGTATGAATTTGCTCATTTTTGAAAGACTTAGTGGTCCATGTGTTTCTGTTCATTTGATCCGTTTGGTGCTCTTCACAGAAATTGGTATTCTGGAGATCTGAAAAGAATGCCAATTTAATGTATATATCTCCAATAAAGCGCACACTGTTACATACATACTGCACTTTTCCTGTTTTCTGATGTCTCCATAAAAGTTCATCTCAAAGCCAATCAAAGTGGACAATTATTCTGCTCAGAACCACAGTTCTGCTTGGGCAAGGAGAGGTTGTCTGTTAACATCATGATACTGTAACAGCAACCGAGCTCAGGGACCCATTGCATTAGGTGCTGTACGAACTATTAGTAAAAGACAGGTGAAGGCACTTCCCCAAGGTCACACAGCAGTTCAGTGGCAAAGCCATGAACAGAACATTAGTCTCAAGACTCCTAGCCTATGCTGTTCACACTTTATTCATTTACATGGCTTTCGGTTTTTAATTTTGGACACTGCGATTTCATATGTGGCTGAAAAACTGTAGTGTAGTTCTGTGGTATTTGATTTTCCCAGGGTCTCGGAGACTATTCTAACCATGCCAGCACTTAAACCTAGACCATGCTAATTCCATCCATGCTACACGGTGATTGCCTTTTGTTTGTAGCATGAATGGGACAACAAAGTTATAGCTTCTTAGCGCTATATATGCTATGACAAGGCTCTCAATAGCAAAACAACCTCCACTCACACTAAGAGTACTGAATGTCACTGTAGGCCCATTTTGCAGGCAGAATAACCTAGTTTGACAGTAATTTAATTTGGCTGTGCCCAAACCAAGTTATAGCATGGCATGCGTGTGGAGGCGGCCAAACTGTGTAACAGACAATTGTTTAAAAAGCTATACACCATGATTCAGACTAGGTCTTCACCAGGGCTAATGCATTCATAGAATCATAGAATATCAGGGTTGGAAGGGACCTCAGGAGGTCATCTAGTTCAACCCCCTGCTCAAAGCAGGACCGATCCCCGACTAAATCATCCCAGCCAGGGCTTTGTCAAGCCTGACCTTAAAAAAATATGTTTTAATATGGTAATAACATTTGTCCCTATCTGCACAAACTGAACCAAACCATGCTATAGCCTAGCCAGTCACAGCTACTCAATGCAAGACCTCATTCACTTCACAGTAAACGGATCTACATTCTAAAGTAAGGTCCCTACATTCTGCAGTTGCTGCTGCTGGGAGTTCTGAGGAAGATTCAGATACATATTTAATGGAGAATCTTAATGCATTAAATATAAAAAAAATTAATCTAGTCAGTGCAGCAACCTCTGATATACAGTTGGATATTACATTCATTTTATACTGTCCCCACAATTTCAGTTTTCAACATGCAGCTGTCATTTTTAGGTTTCAGAGTTAACAACCCATTAAATGAAAAGGGCAGTTGACGCCTGTTGTAAAGAATATTTCTGAAACATTTAAAGTGGAAATTCTAGAGCATAATTCTGCAGCAATGGCAGAATCATGGAATACACAGGGCCCTGATTAAAGGTGATCTACAAAGGAAGCAATTGTGTTTCCTTGTTTATTATGCATAAAGGAGACTAAGAGGCTATTTCCACACCCTTCCCCCACACTACCACAGACCATTTTTCCTCCCTTTTGTTTGTATTTTTACACTAGAAATTCAGCTCATGCTACCCTGACTTTCCTGGAGGACTCTAAAGGTAACAGAAAAACTAGCATTATCACATCACAAGTACCAAAAGTGCACATAACCTTATAAGTGTGACTGAGAAGGGAAGGGATTTTTAGTCAGACCGTTTAAAACGGTTTTTATTCTGTGATATGGAGGTGATCAGTCTAGCTCGGGTTCCCAAACTGGGGATTGCAACCCCCCAGGGGGTCACAAGGTTATTACCTGGGAGTCACAAAGTGTCAATCCTGCCAGGAGTGGGGCTGGGAGCCTGAGTCCCTGTTAAACTAAAAACAGGGGGTTTTAATTTTAAAGGGGGGCTGCATTCAGAAGCTTGCTATATGAAAGGTGTCGCCAATACAAAAACTTTGAGAACCACAGGACTAGATAATTGGAAAATGGTCTTAAAATACAGGTATTTATATGTTTTTAATTCAAAACCCTGACCAACAGTTCAGGAAATTCTCTGTGACGGTTTCAGTCCCTGTACTTATTCAATTAAGGGCTGAGAAAGTGCACACGTCAGTTCTCACATGTTTTTGCAGGTTACTTTTAAACTTGGTAGCTTTATAGTTTAAATGGGCCTTCAACAGCAGGCCATCAGCATTACACAAAGAAGCCAAGAAAAACTCTCAGATTAAGCCCCTGAACTCTAAGAAGAAGTCACAATCCAAGTGCTAAATCCGGACCTCAGACACCCAAACAAAACTCACAAATTTCAACTAGAGCTGTGCCTGCATATCCGAGAGCAGAATTCTGCCATAAAGATATATGGAAATGAGTACCACATTACGGTACTGAGCTCATAAATCAGACCGCTAATAAATGGGAAGGGTGGTGAAGTGGACTGGAAAACAAAAAACGTAACCCACCACCACCACACCACCACTACACAGCAACAAAGCATTTTCTAAACATTAATGAATTAAGCCTCTTTAGGTCATTTATCTCCATTTTACAGATGGAAAAAACTGAGAAATAGAGATTAAAATGGTTTCAAGATCCCAGGAAGTTCATGGAAGTGACTGAATAAAATCCAGACCTCCCAACGCACAGTCTTATGCTTAAAACAAGACCACCCATCTGCCATAAACTGGACGCATCAATTTGTAACAGATGAGGGTGACCCATTGTACCCAGAACCACCTTCTAATTATAAATACATGAGACTCAAAAGAGGAAACCCAGCTGTAAAACGCTTCTGAGTGAGCCAGAGCTTGATTAATTTTTTTTGCCCAGATGTAAAGGACACAAAATAAATATCAATGCAATCTGTCATAAAATATCGTTTCTCTCAGTTCCTCCAAACTAGGCACTAGGGTACTGCCACTGGACCTTAATCAGGATGTCCACCTTTTTGTCAGCATAAATAAATATAAAGTGAGCACAGTACACTTCATATTCTGTGTTGTAATTGAAATGAATATATTTGAAAATGTAGAAAACATCAAAAATATTTAAATTAGGGCTGTCAAGCAATTAAATAAATGGTATTCTATTATTGTTTAACGGCACGATTAATTGCGATCTATTTTTTTAAACATTTTTGGACACTTTCTACATTTTCAAATATATTCATTTCAATTACAACACAGAACACAAAGTGTTCAGTGCTCACTTTATTTTGATTACAAATATTTTCACTGTAAAAAACAAAAGAAATAGTATTTTTCAACTCACCTAATACAAGTATTGAAGTTCAATCTCTATCATAAAAGTTGAACTTACAAACATAGAATTATGTTCAAAAAATCCTGCATTCAAAAATAAAATATAAAACTTTAGCACCTACAAGTCCAACCAGTCCTACGTCTTGTTCAGCCAATCACTCAGACAAAAAAGTTTGTTTACATTTGCAGAAGATAATGCTGCCTGCTTCTTGTTTATGTCACCCAAAAGTGAGAACAGGCGTTTGCATGGCACTGTTGTAGCTAGGGTCACAAGATATTTACATGCCAGATTCATATGTCCCTTCATGCTTCAGCTATCATTCCAGGGGACATGTGTCCATGCTGATGATGGGTTCTGCTTGATAACCATCTAAAACAGTGTAGCCCAACATGTTCATTTTCATCATCATGATTCAGATGCCACCAGCAGAAGGTTGATTTTCTTTTTTGGTGGTTTGGGTTTCATAGTTTCCACATCAGAGTGTTGTTCTTTTAAGACTTCTGAAAGCATGCTCCATACCTCATCCCTCTCAGCTTTTGGAAGGCACTTCAGATTCTTAAATCTTGGGTTGAGTACTGCAGCTTTCGTTAGAAATTTCACACTGGCACCTTATTTGCATTTTATCAAATTTGCAGTGAAAGTGTTCTTAAAATGAACAACATGTGCTGGGTCATCATCTGAGATGGCTAGAACATGAAACGCACTGTGGGATGGAAGAATCCTATGCACTGCTACAGAATAGGGACCGAGCAGCTAGGCAGCAGTTCTGCAGAAAAGTATCTACAGCTTATAGTGGACAAGAAGCTGGATGAGACTCAACAGTGTGCCCTTGTTGCCAAGAAGGCTAATGGCATTTTGGGCTGTATAAGTAGGAGCACTGCCAGCAGATCGAGGCATGTCATCATTCCGCTATATTCGGCATTGGTGAGGCCTCATCTGGCGTACTGTGTCCAGTTTTGGGCACCACACTACAAGAAGGATGTGGAAAAATTGGAAAGAGTCCAGCGGAGGGCAAAAAAAAAAAAAAAGGATTAGCGGGCTGGAGCACATGATTTATGAGGAGAGGTTGAGGGAACTGGGATTATTTAGTCTGCAGAAGAGAAGAATGAGGGGGGATTTGATAGCTGCTTTCAACTACCTGAAAGGGGGTTCCAAAGAGGACAGATCTAGACTGTTCTCAGTGGTAGCAGATGACAGAACAAAGGAGTAATGATCTCAAGTTGCAGTGGAGGAGGTGTAGGTTGGATATTAGGAAAAACTTTTTCACTAGGAGGGTGGTGAAACACTGGAATGGGTTACCTAGGGATGTGGTGGAATCTCCTTCCTTAGAGGTTTTTAAGGTCAGGCTTGACAAAGCCCTGGCTGGGATGGTTTAGTTGGGGATTGGTCCTGCTTTGAGCAGGGGGTTGGACTAGATGACCTCCTGAGGTCCCTTCCAACCCCGAGATTCTATGAAATATATGGCAGAACGCGGGTAAAACAGAACAGAAGGCATACAGTTCTCCCCCAAGGAGTTCAGTCACAAATTTAATTAACACATCATTTTTTTAAACAAGCATCATCCGCATGGAAGCATATCCTCTGGAACAATGGCTGAAGCATGAAGAGGCATATGAATCTTTAGCAGATCTGGCACATAAATATCTTGTGACGCCAGCTACAACAGTGCCACGCAAATGCCTGTTCTCACTTTCAGGTGACATTGTAATTAAGAAGTGGGCAGCATTATCTCCCGTAAATATAAACAAACTTATTTCTCTTAGTTATAGGCTGAACAAGAAGTAGGACTGAGTGGACTTGTAAGCTCTAAAGTTTTACATTGTTTTGTTTTTGACTGCAGTTATGTAACAAACTATTTCTTATATTTATCATTTTACAGTGCAAATATTTGTAATCAAAATAATATGAGCACTGTACATTTTGTATTCTGTGTTGTAATTTAAATAGATATATTTGAAAATATAGAAAAACATCCAAAATATTTAATAAATTTCAGTTGATATTCTAATGTTTAACAGTGCAATTAATTTTTGAGTTAATCGTGTGAACTAACTACCATTAATCAATAGACCTAGTACAAATAAATGTTCCAAGAGTTGACAAGGAAATTTTAGTTTATGAATTATTAATTAAAAGATGGGCTCCTTGACAAATTTAGCATACTGCATCAGGATTTTCTTTGTCCCAAATATATTAAAACAGAGACACTTCAAAGTTTCCATATAATTAGAACTAGTTGAAATCTCACAGGTAAGTTTCAATTACACTAAGTTATTAATGACAGTTCTATTGGTCATAATGAGCAGTGGTATGATCGAGACTGAATACAGATGTCAAAAGTTTCCACTGGTAGATGAACTGGCGCAACTGTGATGTCTCATTAAAGATTCCATGGCTGCATGCTAGTTTAGGCAACAATACTATCATCATGGTACTGCTGCCTTAGTTCCACAGCATATTAAAGCAGCACTGCTGGGAGAATTGATTCTGGGGCACAGGGAGATACCTTAAACCAGAGACACACTGTGACTCAGAGACGGGGCTCTCCCTGCCCCAACTTCACACAGCACCAGTCTCACTAACATAGATCACTAAACCAATTGAAAAGTAAGGACCAGACTCACTTTGGTTGCCTTGACCGGCTCCAGTAATTTAAAACAGCCGTAAGCCCGCTACATTGGCCAGTGCACTCTCCCTGTTTTGTGCCACCAGTGGCTTTCCCATTAAAAGTTAAATAATTTAAGACTGGTATTTTATATCTCCAAATCATTAGAAACATTGCATGACAGCATTCTCTTTGGTTTTTTGTTTAGGAGTCATGTATGAAATTTTCATAATTTAAAATAATGAAGGAAATTCCCAGCCAAAAACAACTACATGAAGATGTAGTTAAGGTTGACAGTACATATCAGTAACTTAAATTAAAGAACATTACAGGGATGCTGTAATTATCCTAAAACGAGTTAAGATTAGACATAAAAGAAACCCAAACATGTTAATGTAAGAAATGAACATTTAAGGCACCCAAAAACTTTAAAATTCCACTGTAGTAATGCAATGAAAGGGGGAAAAATGAAACAAATCAAGTGTCTCTAAAAATCAGTTTAATCTAATCTGGGACCACAAACACTAACCTGTGTTAATTAGGATAGGAGAAAAGGGGGCCTATAATCTCCTTTTTAAAATATTTGTATATATCCTCATATTACCAAGAGCTTTGAAGTTTTAGGACTTTGAATTATTTGGCTTAATTTCTGAACTGAGACACTCTGGATAAAGGTCTATTGGGTCCCCAGGAGAATACATTCTCTCTTTGACAACATATGAAATTCAAAACTTATGTCTATTATATACAGTAACTAATATAGGATGTAACTAAGGCCTTGTCTACACTGCCACTTTACAGCACTGCAACTTTTTCACTCAGGGGTGTGAAAAAACACCCCCTGAGTGCTGCAAGTTTTAGCTCTGTAAAGTAGCAGTGTAAACAGTGCACTCACTGGTAGCTATTCCCATGGAGGTGGTTTTTTTGGTGCCATGACTACACAGCTACATTAAAGCGTTTTAATGTTGCTAGTGAAGCCGTGCCCTTAGTAGCCTATGATTGTCCCTTCCAGAACTACTGACAAACTTCAGCACGACACTGAATTAGAAAGCTACCCAGCGTTTCTTCCAACTGCCTGCCAGCTTCCTTTTTCTCAGCACAGGGGCCCTCCCTGGCATTTGGGGAGAAATGCAGAGGGTGTAGGTGGGTGAAGGATTGATGGGTGGCTGGAAAAACAGGTGGGGCTAGAAATAAAAGGCAGCGTTGGAGCATATGGCTCTGAAGTGCTAGGAACAATGCAGCCACTGTAACAATCGCAAAAAGAAAAGGAGGACTTGTGGCACCTTAGAGACTAACCAATTTATTTGAGCATGAGCTTTCGTGAGCTACAGCTCACTTCACAGCGGCTACAGCCTCCTTTCCACTGCCCCTCCCAGTCTCCCACCTCTCTCTCTCCTGGCATTGCCCCCAGTGGTCCCGATGACACCCGTACACACCCCTCACCAATCCATTCTCCCACTCGCTGCCCTGGCCCCCCGAGTCCACATGGCCCCCCAACAGCCTGCCCGCCCGGCTTCTCCCCGCCCGCACATGCCCACCCGCTCGGCTCCGCCTCCTCTCCCCGCGCCCCCCCACGCCCGCTCGGCTCCGCCTCCTCTCCCCGCGCCCGCTCCCGGCGTTAAAAGAGGCGCCCCACATTACCTAGCCGAGGGCTACGCGCACTCACCGGGAGCGCCCAGCCACCGCCTCAGACTGCCACTGCAGCCCCGCCGCTACCACCTGCTACGTTACCTGCTGCGTCAACAAACGCGTCATTTCCTCCATGCAAAGCAAGGCACTGCCCCCAGCCAACGCCATCCGACGCTGGTGACGTCACTGCCGGCTCCAAGATAACTGGGGAAGCAGCTGAGCCACACGCGTGCGCACTAGGGGTTCGGGAATCAGGAGGCGAGCGCCGCGGGCGGGCGGGCTAGGAGCTGTACCGGTCTGTTGGTCTCCCGCTCGCTTCCCTCTCGTGCGCAGCTCCCCCTCCAATCCAATCCCAGCCCTGCACTGGCCATGGACCCGCTCCTGGCGCGCGCCGCGCTCCCCCAAAGGGCCAGGCCGGCGGGTCGGCTACTTATAACGCTGAGGGGGGGGGGGAGCGCTCTTCCCCCACAGGGTACCCTGCCCCTGCCAGAGGGGGCACCTCGGCCTGGGGGGCAGCCTGGCTCCACGTGGCTCCCGGAAGTAGCTGGCATATCCAGCTCCTAGGCACAGGGGTGGCCGCAGGGGTTCCATTCACTGACCCGTACCCCAGCTCCCTCCCATGGCTCTGCAGCTCCCTTTGGCCGGGAACGGTGGCCAATAGGCGTTGCAGTGGCGGTGCCTGTAGGCAGCACACACAGAGGTGCCTGGATCCTCCGCCTAGGAGCCGGACATGCTGGCTGCTTCCAGGAGCTGTGCGAAGCCAGGACAGACAGGGAGCCTTCCTTAGCCCCACTGCACTGCCAACTGGGAGCCGCCTGAGGTAAGTGCTGCCAAGGCAGAGCCTGAACCCCATCCCACACCCTACCCTCCTGCCCCAGTCAGAACCCCTTCCTGCAACCAAACTCCCTCCTGGAGCCCACACCCCAACCCCCTGCCACAACTCTGACCCACCTCCTGCACCCCAAACCCTTTATCCCCCAGCCACACCCCCTCCCGCACCACACCCCTAGCCCGAAGCCCTCTGCCGTGCTCCAACCTCTCAGCCCCAGCCCGGATCCCCCTTCTGAACCCCAAACCCCTCATTCCCAGCCCCACTCCAGCATCTGCTCCCCTAGCCAGAGCCCTCACTCCTGCCCACACCCCAACCGTTTGCCCCAGCCTGGTGAAAGCGAGTGAGGGTCGGGGATGGAGTCGGCTGAGACTGGGCAAGGGTGTTCAGTTTTGTGAGATTAGAAAGCTCGCAACTCTAGGAGAACAGACAATCGCCATCCTCTTCCGAACAGCCCTTAATGGACTTGAAGATTTGGTGTGTCCCACTCAGCCGTCTAAACATGCCCATTTCTTTCCCCCTTTCCCTACAGGTCAGGTTTTCTAAACCTTTTATCATGTTTGTTGCTCTCCTCTGGACTCTGCAATTTGTCTACATCAGTGTTCCCCAAACTGTGGGGTGTTCGTCCCAGGGGGTGTGGAGGAATGTTTGGGGAGGTGGAGAGGGAGCTTCACTGAGCCCATCTTTGGCCCCAGCCCCACTCTGCTCCTAGCCCAGCCATGGCTCCACCCTGCCTCCTGCTCTGCCCAGGGCCACACTTAAGAGCAGGCGACAGCCTGGGGTGTTTGGCTTGCTGGTGGGGGGAGGGCACACTAAGCTCTCAGTGCTGTTTTTGTTGTTAGCAACAAAAGGGAAAATATAATGTTTAAAGTAAAATGTCTCGGGGTATTTCCTATGTGGATTCATTTTTCACTAACCTTCTAGAATGTTCTGGACCTTTGTAGAACCTTTTATGGCCTACTACAAATGGGTGGAGGTCAAGTCCAGGCTCAAGCTGAATAAATGTATAGACGTAGAAAACCAGCGCAGCATTCATGTAGAAACTCGGCATTGGAGGAATGTGCTCAAGCATCTGATCTCAATTACCCTCTTCCTTGCAAAGAATAATTTGCCTTTCTGAGGCTCGTCAGATAAGTTGTTCACTGAACATAGTGGTAATTTCCTCTGTTTGGTAGAGCTCCTTGGAAAATACGTTGATGTCATGCATGAGCATCTATGTTGAGTAGTTTGTAAAGAAGCTGTGGACCATAACTGCAGTGAAATAATTCAAAACAAATTTATTGACCTTATGACAAGGAAGGTGCTTGATAACCTATTGATGCGGCTTCGCCAAAGTGAAGTACTATGCCATAATAATGGATTGCACTCCCAACATTAGTCACAGTGAAAAGATGACATTCACAGTAAGATTTGCCTTGCATAATGACAGGTTTCAGAGTAACAGTCGTGTTAGTCTGTATTCGCAAAAAGAAAAGGAGTACTTGTGGCACCTTAGAGACTAACCAATTTATTTGAGCAATGAAGTGAGCTGTAGCTCACGAAAGCTCATGCTCAAATAAATTGGTTAGTCTCTAAGGTGCCACAAGTACTCCTTTTCTTTTTACAGTAAGATTTGTTGATGACGAGGATGGCTGTATCCCCGTAAAGGAACACTTTATCTGTTTCTGGTTTGTGGACAACTCTACTGGAAAAGGCCTAACAGAACTGTTTATGAACATTTTGAATGAGAATAAAATAAAGCTTCAGGACTGCTGCAGCCAAGGCTCTGACAACTGCGTGAACATGAAAGGAAGAAACAGTGGCATCCAGGCAAGGATCTTTATGCTGAATCCAAGAGCTTGCTTTGTGGCTGCCATCTCCTCAACCTGGTTGAGTCAGATGCAGCGTCATCTTCTTTAGAGTATATCAACACTAGAAACATAACTCAACTTACATTAGGTTGACTTGCACCATCGGAGTAATTACTGTGGTGCCTGAATGTCCACACTACCCTCCTTGGATCGGTGGTGCACATCCTTCCTCACCAAGTGCGCTTCCACCATCCTAAGAGGGGCAGTGGGAGGAGCTGAGAGCCTGATCTCTCCACTCCGCTGGCGACTCCCTGGTGGGAGCCCAACTACCCCACAGGCTCCCAGCAAGCTGATCTCCCCGTTCCCCATCGGGAGCTGGGGGGTGTGTATATGCGGGGGAGAGCCGCTTGGGGCTTCTCACCTTGGCAGGAAGCAGGGGATAGCTGGGCTCTAGCTACCCAGCTTTCTTGTCAATTTCATGGCTCCTGCCATGAAATTGACAAAACAGCTAACAGCCCTGTGATGCACCCCATAATGCTTTATGGGAATATGCTCATGAATGTATATATGACATACATGGCAAATGTAGCATAAAACATATTCCAGTTAACACATCTCTATAAAGGTTATGATCTACTGAATATATTCATCCTATCTGTATGCATGTATCATTTTTGTATTTGAAGTTATGAATATTGGCTGTGTACTTGTTTGATTTTTAAATAGCCTTTGTAAGGCATTTGGTCAGCTTCTTTAGAAAGGAATGTGCAAGTTAAGTGCCCAGTCAAGAAACACTTAAGCTGACAATAGACCTTAATAGACACCAATCTACATCTGAGCTTTCCTGGCTATGTGGCTTGGCCTGTACAGTTTTGGAGTCGCATGTCCATGCATGACTCAAACTCCATTTTGTACCTGTAATTCTGCACAGCTGGAGGAAGGGGTTTAGACCCACAAGGAGAAACTATATAAAGCCTTGGGAGACCCCTCCATTTTGTCTTCAGCTGGCTCAAGAGAGAGCCTCTCTGCCACCAAGGATACCTGAGAGAAACTGGAACAAAGGACAGTAACTACTAGGGGGTGTGAGTGATTGCTGGACCCAGACTAGAAGGAGACTAGTTTGTAAAAGGAAGCTTACTGGAACACCTCTGAGGGTGAGGTTTTATCTGTATTCAATTTTCTTACTGTATTAGGCATAGACTTGCATGTTTTATTTTATTTTGCTTGGTAATTCACTTTGTTCTGTCTGTTACTACTTGGAACTACTTAAATCCTACGTTCTGTATTTAATAAAATCACTTTTTACTTATTATTTAACCCAGAGTATATATTAATACCTGGTGGGGGTGGGCAAACAGCTGTGCATCTCTCTATCAGTGTTATAGAGGGCAAACAATTTATGTGTTTACCCTGTATAAGCTTTATACTTATAAAGCGGGTGAAGTGGATTTATTTGGGGTTTGGACCCTATTGGGAGTTGGGCATCTGAGTGACAGAACACTTCTTAAGCTGCTTTCAGTTAAGCTCGCAGTTTGTGGGACGTGGTTTAGATGTGGGTCTGTGTTTGTGGCCGGTAAGCATGTCTGGCACCACCTGGCAGGGTTCTGGAGTCCCAAGCTGATAGGGAAAGCAAGGGCAGAAGTAGTCTTGGCACATCAGTTGGCAGCCCCAGAGGGGTTTCTGTGATCCAACCCGTCACAAGCCCATGTAAAAACGCAGTGTTTACACAGACACTCGTCTCACCCTAATTACACCGACATGAGGCTTGTACTTCTCATGGAGTTATTATGTCAGTGTAGTAGGGCACTTACATTGGCAGAAGCAAAGCTGAAGTGTAGACACTGACCTAATTAGGTTGATGAAAGCTGCCTTAGGTTGACCTAACTGTGTAGTGTAGACCAGCCCTTAGATTCAGTATCTCTTTTTGGAGTACTGCAAAGGGTATAAGTTGATGCTGAAAACAGGACAACCACATGGAAGATTGTCAAGGTTCCTCCCCCACTCTGAACTCTAGGGTACAGATGTGGGGACCTGCATGAAAAAACCCCCTAAGCTTATCTTTACCAGCTTAGGTCAAAACTTCCCCAAGGTACAAAATATTACACCCGTTATCCTTGGAATGGCCGCTACCACCACCAAACTAATACTGGTTACTGGGGAAGAGCTGTTTGGACGCGTCTTTCCCCCCAAAATACTTCCCAAAACCTTGCACCCCACTTCCTGGACAAGGTTTGGTAAAAAGCCTCACCAATTTGCCTAGGTGACTACAGACCCAGACCCTTGGATCTTAAGAACAATGAACAATCCTCCCAACACTTGCACCCCCCCTTTCCTGGGAAATGTTGGATAAAAAGCCTCACCAATTTGCATAGGTGACCACAGACCCAAACCCTTGGATCTGAGAACAATGAAAAAGCATTCAGTTTTTACAAGAAGACTTTTAATAAAAAATAGAAGTAAATAGAAATAAAGAAATCCCCCCTGTAAAATCAGGATGGTAGATATCTTACAGGGTAATTAGATTCAAAAACATAGAGAACCCCTCTAGGCAAAACCTTAAGTTACAAAAAAGATACACAGACAGAAATAGTTATTCTATTCAGCACAATGCTTTTCTCTTCCATTTAAAGGAATCATAATCTAACACATACCTAGCTAGATTACTTACTAAAAGTTCTAAGACTCCATTCCTGTTCTGTCTCTGGCAAGAGCAGCATACAGACAGACACAGACCCTCTGTTTCTCTCCCTCCTCCCAGCTTTTGAAAGTATCTTGTCTCCTCATTGGTCATTTTGGTCAGGTGCCAGCGAGGTTACCTTTAGCTTCTTAACCCTTTACAGGTGAGAGGAGCTTTCCCCTGGCCAGGAGGGATTTCAAAGGGGTTTACCCTTCCCTTTATATTTATGACAAAGATCTTCACTGACAATCTTTCAAATCTGACCATGAAGCCGCTAAGTGAAACTCACTGGTAGAGCTGCATTGACAGCCGTAAGGCCACGGGCGTACCAAATGACTAAGGTTTATGATGCCTTCTTGGAACTGGCACAGTCGAGTATAGCTGAAGCCGAATCTTATACAAGACGCAAAGCCTGGTAAACCAGATCCTGGACTTCAAATTTCTGGTCTCAATTGTAGTTTGGCACAATATTCTGTTCCAAGTAATGTAAGGAAGGCATTACAAAATCAGTTGATGGACAGCGTGGCTGCCACAACTTTGATGAGAAGCTGCCTTGATTTCATTGTGGTCTACAGAGAGAACAGATTTGAATATGCCATCATTGCTGCCAAAGAAATAGTGGAAAATTTAGGAGTCGAATACGAGTTTCCTTGTAGACAGGCTCATTGGAAGAAGACAGTTTGATTATGAGGATAGAAATGAGGTGATAGGGAAGCTCAGAAGAAAAATTCAAGAGGGAGGGTTTTTGCTCACTCGTTGACACTACTCGAGTCCACCTGTAGTCCATTTTTCCCCAGAGGTGGCTCCTCCTCCTCTGGGTCTGTGGGTGGCCAATCCACCCCACTACGTCTCCAGGGGTCACCTGACATGGGGAATCCGCAGGGCGATGGGAGACATGAGCTCGGGCCTGTGGTCAGTGCCGAACAATAAACACAATTACAGAGCCCCAGCCCCACGTCAGGGCAAGGCAGCAAAGAGTCTCATGCTCAGGCCTGTACTCTGACTGTTTGCTGCCCAGCCTTATCAGCCTAGGCTCTGGTTCAGAGCGGGACAGTAAACAAAGTCACTCAGCTCCATCCTGCACTCGGGTGGGGCTGCAGACAAAGCATAAGTGCTGGCTTCCTCTTGACCCAGTGGGTGCTCACCTGCTACACTGCCCTCACGCCACCCCCATTCTACCCTCTTCCCCCAAGTCCCCGCCCCTGCCCTGTCTCTTCTCCCCTGAGCATGCTGCGTCCCCACTCATTCCTCTCTCTCCTAGAAAGTCTTAATTGCCGCTAAACAGCTATTAGGCGGCGGGCAGGAAGTGCTGAGAGGGAAGGGGAGGAGCAGGGACGCGACGAGCTCGGGGGAAGAGGAGGAGGTGGGGGGGGAGCACTAACTTTTCCCCGTGGGTACTCCAGCCCTGCAGCACCCATGGAGTCGGCGCCTATGAAACAAAGTCAGTTAACTCAGGCTTTCCTTCAGCTAGCCTGAGGGAGGGGGAGACTGCCACCCACCGCTTGGGTGGTGGGGGGGATGCAGGCCCTCCCACTCCACTGCATCCCAGTCCCGGGCCCTAAGGGTGGTGGAGGGGTCTGCCACCACGTCAGCAGGGATCCAAGCCACAACATGCTAATTCACCCTCTGCCAGCGTTGCAGCTAGACAGGGGTCTACTACCCCTGGGCCACTTCCACACGCCCTCTCCAAGGGTACCTGCTGGTACTGTGAGGTAAGGTGGTCAGCAGGGACCTCAGTTGCCAGCAGAAGCTCTGCCAGGGTTGGGCCAGCCGGCAGTCCAGGATAGTCATCTGCCTCCTGCGGGATTGGGTCGGCCGGGTGGTCCAGGCCAGTCGTCTGCTCCCTGTGGGGCCGGGTCATCCAGGAGTCCAGGTGGTCCAGGCCGGTTGTCTGCTTCCCCCTAGGTCAGGTCAGTCCAGGGTCCACGTGGTCCAGTCCAGTCGTCTGCACTCTGCAGGCCTGCTGCCACCTCCCAGGGCGAGTGCTCAGGGGATGCATCTGTCCCTTCTAGTGGCCAGGGCCCTAGTCAGCTTCTGGGTTCTGCCTTTATACGTCCAGCCCCACCCCTTGGCTTCCGGGGGCAGAGCTAGGAGTAGGGCTCCACCCACGAGGGGGTGGTGCCACCCTATTCCTCCGTGTCTGGGGTGGGCCAGTCCACCTCACTACACCATCGAAGAAAAGTCTGGACAAATGAAGCACCACAAAAAGACCTGGTTTTTGTATGACCAGCAGACAGGAAAACACTCTTGAACAATTGTACGGACCTTCACCAGATGCTGACATATGGGGAATGTTCAGAAGTCAATGATAAAGACCTATGTCAAATTGGACAACATGCATCACATTTTGCAACACAGGAAGCACTTTCCACTCCCAAGTTCTCCAATTCATTCATGATGCAGAGCTAAAGGACACTTTTTTTCCTAAAGTGTGGATAGCTTTGAGGATTCTGCTCACACTGATGGTCACGATAGCAAGTGGTAAGAGCAGCTTTTTGAAGATCAGGCTCCTTAAAGCATATTTTTGATCAATGATGGCTGATGAGACTGACATTGCTTGCTATTTTATCCCTTCAGAATGCCATTGGCCAATTTTTGGATCTCTGTGATGTTGTGCTTCAGTTCACAAGGGCAAGGGCAAAAGCAAGAAAAGCAACCTTTTGAACTAAAGGACAAGGAGTAACATTCTATAGCTGTCACCTACTGTAACACTATTTAATACTAGTCCACCCAATCTTGATGCACAGTTCAATTTCTTGGTGTTGGTATGTTTCAGTTATTCTTAAAATTAAAAACTTTCTGTAAGCTTAGACAAAGTAATTTTTTTATTTGCTTATATATGGCTTGAATAAATACAAATGTACAGACCGTAGCTTGCAAATTTATCATCTTATATGAGAGGGATAAATCATGCATGCAAATTGTGCATCCAAGTGTGAAATGGAGGACAAATGCAATAAAAAAATAAGGTATTCAAAAGTTTAACAAATGGGAGGTGGGGGTGCTGAAGACGCTCCTTTTACTTGGGGTGCCATTTGGTCTAGGGCCAGCCCTGAATGCAATGGTGGTATGACTGAATTTTCCTTGAATTTCCTTTAGTCCTACCTGTAGCAGGAAGCTGCTTTGGTAATTTAAAATTGGTTAAATTCAATACTACAGATATTAGTTGGTACTAGGCTGTCAAGCTATTAAAAAAATTAATCACGTGATTAAAAATTAATTATGATTAATCACGCCGTTAATAATATAATACCATTTATTTAAATATTTTGGATGTTTTCTACGTTTTCAAATATTGATTTCAATTACAACACAAAATACAAAGTATACAGTGCACACTTTATATTTTTGATTACAAGTAATTGCACTGTAAAAAAACAAAAGAAATTGTATTTTTCAATTCACCTAATACACAAGTACTATAGTGCAATCTCTTTATCATGAAAGTTGAACTTACAAATGTAGAATTATGTACCCAAAAAACTGCATTCAAAAACAAAACAACGTAAAATTTTAGAGCCTGCAAGTCCACTCAATCCTACTTCTTGTTCAACCAATCGCTCAGACAAACAAGTTTGTTTATGTTTGCAGGAGATAATACTGCCCGCTTCTTGTTTATAATATCACCTGAAAGTAAGAA